CTGATTTACAGTGTAAACCCCATCTTCGGTTACCACCTATCCCTGGCCAAGTGGAAAAATATTCTTTTCTGTATCGTATGATGGCAGTAAATTAAAATTTTTAAAATGCAAAAGGAACGTTTAGTGAATCTGTCCAATGTAGATGCTCTAAAATAGATTTTGAGAGGAAAAAAAATGAGATCTAGAATCTGAATTTTAGGTTACTACTAACTTATTTATAATGTCCATTTGTCAAGTGTCCTCGATTGCTTGGGATCACTTTGGCTTTCCAGAGGAAAATGAAATTGGGCTGAGCCCCACCTCAGATTTCTAGGACTCTCTGGAGGGAGAAATGAGAGAAGCTGTGGACAGGGAGGCCCCGGCCTCCTGGGGACCCCTGCTCTCTGTATCTGCTGTCTTTCCCCTTGGCATGCCCTGACTCTTTCTGCATGGCGTTTCCTCTCTGGCCATCTCCCGCATCTTCACTTTCCCAACTGTTAAAGCTCACTAATACCTAACTTTATTAAAATATTAAACTTTTGAAGCAAGGAAAGGGAAAATCACATTGGCTTCAGGAATGACTTAAAAGTCCCATCACCACTCACTCCCAGAGCATCTTCACTGACCTGCCAGGTTTCCAGTCACCTGCTGTGGAGCTTGGCCCCTCTGTCAGGAATCTCCACACTCTTCTTCCTCACCTCGCACACACCCAGCCCCAGGCGCTCAGCTCCATCTCACTCTGGTCACTCAGGGTTTCTACCACAGGGCTGTGTCACGACATATGCCATTGGGTACTGCCTGCCCGCCTCCTTCCTCCTTCCTTTCTCAAGTACATTCTGAGTGAATTTATCTCCCCACTCAATTTTAAGTTGATGTCTAGGATTTGTTTAAATACTTGCAAAGAGTGTCCCTCCTCACATATTGCTAACATGCTCTTAAGTCACAGATTTAGTTCATTCAGTTATGAAAAACGGCTGCCCTCCAACTAAATTCCCAAAAAGTCCTTGTTATCAGACTGACTCCCCCCCCAAGGCCAACCTGTTTTTCACCAGAGACAATTCCTTTGGCCCTTTTCCGTGGGCATCACCACACTGCTGTGTGTTGCCTGCTTTCAAGTTCTGCTTCTGTGATAGTGGATCCATAGCAGCAGATGGACAGTCTGTGCACAGGACTGGGCAGTCAGGTGAGAGGAGACCCGTCTGCTCTCAAGACTCCCCTCCTGTGTCCATTCCCCTTTGCTTTCAGAAGCACTTACTCAGCGCCCTGTGTTATCTAACTGGCCTTTTTATCAGGTACCCAAGAGATGTTTGTGCCTCCAGGGAAATGCAGCTGATTATAAATCGGGAAGGCTGAGAGGCAACACAGTGTACTGTGAAGTAGGAAAGAGGAAGTCAGATATGGGGAAGAAGGAGAATAAGACTGGTGTTTTGTTAGGTAGGTCCATTTTAAACCAGGCACAGTGGCATGTGTCTGTAATTCCAGCACTCAGGAGGCGGAGGCAGGAGGATTGCCGTGAGTTCAAGGCCAGCCTGAACTCCCACATCTCCAAAACAGGTCTGTTTTAGAAAAGAGTGAATACAGAAGTTGAATATCTGGAAATAGATTTTCTTAACATTATTTTTTCCTATGTACCCTCCTGGGACATGAAAATGGCTCCTTCGCAGCTGTATAATTGATGGCATTTTGCTCCATTGCTGAAGTCCTGGATAATTTAGCATTCTATCAGAGTTGATCACATTTTCTAGTTCTATGGTACTTAATAAGAAATAAACACTATTGTATGTTTGTGCCACTAAAAGCTAATGACTTTCAGGTTCAATACATGCATTCAGGATTTCTGATTTAAATCATAATTTTTAACCATTAAATGTTTTCCTCATTGAAAAAATGTTTTTCACTTCTACTTTTTTTTTTTTTTTTTTTGTCTTTTTTGAGACAGTCTCGCTATGCAGTTCAGGCTGGCCTTGAGCTCACTTTGTAGCCCAGGCTAGTCTCGAACTTGCAGTGATCCTTCTGCCTCAGCCTCCCAAGTGCTGGGATTACAGGCATGAGCCACCACACCGGGCTAGCCACCACACCCAGCTCACTTCTGCTTTTAAAAAAATAATTTTGAAGCTGCTGATAAGAACTGCCTTGTGCCCAGAACATTTGATAAATACCATCAGGAGTGATCTTCTATTTCTGTTACTCTAGCACTGTGTCTCTTGTGGAGTGGTTTTTGGCCCTGCAGTATCCATGTCATAGGGAACTTGGACCATGTGTGCATGGTGCTGGAGAAGCACTTCACTGGCATATGCCACATCTTTCACTAAATGCTTTTTTATTTAAAAATGTTCAGCCAAGTTGTAATCTCGGCACTCTGGAAGGCTGATGCAGGAGAATCACAAGCTTCAATGGCTAGGGATATCTCAGTGCAGAAGCCCTGTGTTTAATCCCTAGTACTACAAAAAATAAACAACTCCCATTTTCTTTCAAAAATCTCTTGCCAGTTTCATTTTCTTACATATCCTCTGATGCCTTTGTACAAACCACAGATGTTTTCATTGGTCACTTTAGACATTCTTCCTTTATTCATCCATTTATCCATTTAATAAAAACATACACCCTCGCCCCATGTACCAAACTCAATGTTTGGTACTGGGTGTGCATCACATGATAAGATTCTGAAACTAATGCAATCATGCATTATTTAAGGGGTCAAAATATAAATAGTTAGTCAAATTAATAAGGAGATAAATGTCATGGTAGTAATCAGAGAGATGTTGGCCAGGATGGTCAGGGAGGAGACATTGTAGCTCAGGCCTGAAGGGTGGGAGGGAGCCAGCCTTTCAGAGACCTGGGAAAGGAGGAGGAATGAGTATCCTGATGGGTTGCATCTACTGAGTTTTTAGCACTTGCCAATTATTATAAGCATGTATGTATCTTTGCTTTTTTAATCCTGACAGCAGCCTTGTGGGGTAGATACTTAATATTCCCATTTTTTTAGGTGAGATAAGTGCACGAGGTGGAGAGATTGAGTAAATTACAGGTTACTTTATCTCCATGACTGAGGGAGAAGTAGACATTACTCACTGAAGTAAAAATGTTGGATTGATGCTGGATGACATTGATTTTCTGTACCACACAGTCCTGCAGGCCTCATCAGAACCACCAGGATATCCAAGAATAAAACCCAGTGGCAACAACAAATGCCTGGAATTAGATCCCCAGGCTGAGAGCTCTGTCCCACAGTGCTGTCAGGGCCACCCATACCCCTCCCTCAAGCATCTGCACCCCTCCTGCTGGCCCCATGTTGTAACAGAATGCCCAAAGCTGAGGAAGTCCGAAAGAGAAGAGGTTTCTTTACTCTCAGCCATGATGGTGAGGAGGTCAGATAGTGGAGAACATATGGCCAGAGTCCCCTGGCTACATCACAATATGGCAGAGAAGTGAAAAGCTGCGTACAAAAGACATCAATCACGTGGGGTAGCCATGCTGTGCAAGAGCTCTTCTCTAACCCAGCGCTGCAAGGTGGACACTAATCCCTTTGGGAATGAGAGCATGACCCAGTCACCTGTCACCAAAAGTCACCTTACCTTTCAGTACAGTACATTGCTGACCCAGCTTCAAGAACGTGGACCTTGAGGGACAAACCACCCCTGCACCCCAGCAGAGTGAGTGAAACGGTCCCTTCCACAAGAGTCTCGGTTAGTGTGTGACTAAGCCCTTCACTGTGTAGGTTTCAGGAAAGGCTGGGGAGGTCCTGGATTCAGTCTCTGGTACTACACGACGAGGAGGAGGAGGAGGGAGGGAGAGGGATGGAGAGAGGAAGGAACGAAGGAGGGAAGCTGTGTTGTTTTGAGGGAAAAAGAAGCTATCATCTGTGGACTAAGAGGGTAGCAGGAAGATGTGGTTTCTGTAGAATCACTGCGTTCACTTGGAGATGGTGTGGTAATGATAAACACCTCCTTGTATTAAGCCTTTACCACATGCTGGCACTAGTCTAAGTTTCATGTCATCCCTAAATCTACAAATTACAGCCTCCAGGTTTCTCATTTAAACATCATTTTAAGAACACATGTACCCTTGCTGTAGTTCAAGTCTATAATGTGTGAAGGTAAGGGCTCCTGACAGTTAAATTTCTTGCCTCCTGCAGAGCTTAGCACTTAGCTGTCCTCTAAATGCCAAGCAGCAGGGTTGAGTAATGATCTCTGTTCCACATGCAAAAGTCTCAGTCACTTTAAATACACATTTTCTAACTCCAGCCATGGCTTTTCTAAATTATTTTTCTGAATTAGCTTAGAAAATACAGGGATAGTTCTGGGAAAGTATGAAGTGAAATTTTAGTGCCACCATCTTTTTTTGGTATATCAAGATGGTTTTCAGTTGATAGAAATGTTTTTGGTTCTTGGCAGCTATTTGTAGGTTAGGCAGGTGTAAAGGCATATGGTCCGTGTTGTGACACACCGTTACCTCAGCTGTCTAATCATTCTGAAAGGCAGCACAAGGCTAACCTGTGTTCCCTTTCGGGTGCCTTCAGGGTAAGTACTGAGGTATGCATGTCACTTTAGGGAAGGAATTTCGCACACCACTCGAGAAGGGATGCCCATCGTTCAGCGGAGGCCCCTGTGCCTTGCTGGCCCTATCCTAATCCTCTTCTCAGGCCTCTGAGATGAATAATTCAATGAGCTGGTAGAGAGAACGTGGAGGAAGAAAGCTGGAGCTTCTGATGGCTTCCATTTCGTGCTTTAGTGCTGGTCTTGCCTCTTCCACTGCTTTCTTCTTTCGTGGAAGGAGAGCCTGGACAAGATGAGAGGAGGAAATTGAGCACCTTCCTGACAGGGATTTTCTTCATTTGTTAGCTATAGGTCTGTGGAGCCGTAATCAGATGTGCATTTATGGTGTTACAGGAAAAGGCCAAAAAGGAAAACCACAACTATTTTTGGCAGCTAGAGGCAGTGCTGAGCCTCAGCAGTGAGCGCACGGGACCACGGGATGTCACAGTCTGGTCTCTTAGTCCCTCGTTCTCTTTCTCTTGACAGGTAAAGAGAAGATCAGAGTGTCGGAGGATATACTGAAGAAGCTCTTGCTGATTAAATGGTGTATTTTGGAAGCCATTCGTTTAAGAGCCCCCGGTGTCATAACTAGGAAAGTAGTAAAGCCAGTGAGAATTTTGGTAAGCATTGGTTTTGTTTTAAAATAATCACCTTTCTAGAAAAAATGTATATATTTGCTCATTTTTTTATTTTTTAGATTGACATATGACTTATGAATTTTCCACATATCTATATGTTTTTTTCGCTATATTTAACTGAATGAAATTTGCATATACAGTGGAATCTTGATTTACGAACACTTTTGTTTGTCAACAGTTTAGTTCATGAACAGAAGCAAGATTTCTGTGGCAAGATTTCATTTTTGTTCTCAAACTCTCCATCCAGTGATGGACACAGACCCAGCCATCTTTCCCACATGAACCCAAGCATGACCATCTTTTCCAGAATCGTGGAACAAATTAAGTTCATGAACCAAGGTACCACTGTGTTTATCGTGTAGGATGCATCTTGAGATATGCCTAATTGTGGAATGGCTAAATCAAGTTAATTATCGCATGTATTCTTCACATACATTTAGGGTTAGAACATTTATTTACTCTGTATGAGCAATTTTCAAGAATACAGTACAGTGGTACCTCAGTTCATAAACATAACTCATTCCATGACTCTGGGGAAGATAAGTACATTTGTGTTCAGGCAGAGGCCATGGTCATGTTCATCACCAGAGGCAGAGTTCACAAACCAAAGCGTAATTTTGCCAAATATTCTGCTTGAGAGCTGAATTGTTTGAAAACAGAAGTGTGTGTGAACTGAGGTGTAACTGCACATCGTTATTCACCGTAGTCACGGTGTCATATAGATCTCTTAAGTTTAAATTCTAGTAAACAACTGAAGTTTTGTGTCTTTGACACACATCTCCCGAAACTAGCCCTCTCCCCAGGCCCTGGTAGGTACCATTTTTCCTTTCTACTTCAATGAGATCACTCTTTTTACATTCCAGACGTGAGTGAGATCAGTTGTGTGTTAGACATTTTCTCATTATTGAGACATAATACCTGAGAGCCACAATTTAAAGAAGAGATTTCTTTTTCTCACAATTCTAGTGGAAATTTCAGTTTCAGCCATGATTGGCTGGCTCCAGGGCAGAACGCCACCTGGTGAAAGAAAGCTGTTCACTGCTTGGGGTCTGGGAAGATGAGCGAGAGGAGGCATGAGGGACAAGAATGTACCCTGTAATTTAAGACCTGTTCCTTCTGACGGGGCCTCACCTCCAAATGTAGGGCTTTGGGGGGACATTTTTTTTATCAAAATCATAGCATCCCACCCCTGGTTCCCAGAGGCTCATGCTCAACTCAAAATGCATTTATACTCTCTCTAAGAGTTGCCAGTGTCTTAACAGTTCCAGCACTGCTGAGAAGTCCAAGACCAAAGTCTCCTCTGAGATGCAAGGCAAACTCAGTTATGAGTCCCTAACAAAATAAAAAAGGAAGGAAGTGAAATGCTTCTAATGCATAATGGGATAAACATTCCCATTCCAAAAGGGAGGAATAGGAGAATAGACAAGACTAAAGCAAGACCAAAATCCAGCAGGGCAAACATTTAAGTCCTGTAGCTCTGTCCAGCACCTGGGACAGGTTGTGTCAAGGCATGAGTTTCAAGGGCTTGGATGGCCCACCCCCACAGCATTGCCAGTTGTAGCCTGTGTAGCTTCTCTCTCGGGGTGGCTCTCCCGAGAGATGGTCCGTACTCCAGGCATTCCCACCTTCCCCAGGTCTCCATTTTCCTTTTCACTTCACTCTCATAGCTTCAAACAGAACCCTCTTGGGGTACTAGCAGGGGCTCCTTCTCTGGCCTCCCGATATTCTTTTCAAATCTCTGGTCTCTGTTCTGTGCTCTTTTCTCTGGCTTCCCAGATGTTCTTTTGTTGGAGGAAGCCTCCATGAACATATGATTCTTACACTCTGTGTGCCTGAAATACCAGCACGTTGGAGTGATGCTGAGATGTGTTGTCAGCCCAAGCAGTAGATGGGCCTCCTTGGACCACAGCTGCAGTTGCCTGCCATGGTCTTCGTGGCTGAACTCAGGGATAAACTTCTCTAGGTGCCCTTGAATGACCAAGCATCCCAGGACTATCTTCAAATGCACTAAGTCCCCAATTTATGGACACATTCCATTCTGGGAGAATTCGTATGTTGGATTCATTCATAAGCATGTTGAAACAAATCTTGTACACCTTTGACACAAATACACAATGTATGCTGCTTTGTACTTTCTAGCATCCCCTTCATATCAGCGTTGCTTTTCTTCTTGCTTCCAGACGTCCTGGGCTCTGATTTAGCACTGTACTACAGGACACTATTGCACTATATAGTAAGCCCACAGCAACACAGCTGAAACAATGTCCAGCAGACATGTGAGGTACTTCTGTGATTTGTTTGCATCTAAGAATGTTTGTAATGTGAGATCCATTGGTATTTGGGAAAATTCACAACTCAAATGTTTGTAATTTGAGAACTGAGAACTCCTTTAAAATTTCATAGTCAGTTGCTCTTAATCTCAATCTCCTTCAAAATCAAAGGATGTAGACAGTTTATAGACAAATTTTCTGTTAAGACATAATGCATATGCCCTCTAATCCAGTTGCCAATGGAATCCTTATTTCCAAATAAAACCTCCTGAGCCCAGTTTTTACTATTCATATTCCTATCACCATCCTGGTCTTCTGAGTCCTTACTAGTGTATACATTGAGCAGTCCTCACAGCATTCAAGGATTTCTCTAATCAGCATCTCCAAACATTTTTAAATGCCTGCTACAAACAATTTCCAAAGGCTTCTGAACTACAGGGTCAGGACCCCATTTCTGGTACCAATTTTCTATATTAGTCGTCCTCCCATCTCTGAGACAAACTACTGAATCCCCGCAATTTAAAAGAAAAGAGATTTATTTTGGCTCACAGGAGGTTAAGTAGGTTCAGGCCTTGGTTGGTTGGACTGAATCAGAAATGGCATGGTGGAAGGATAGGAGGGGAAAGCTGTTTACCACATGGTGGCCAGGAAGCAGAGTGAAGGAAGGAGCCAGGGATGAGAATACTGATGGAGTTGAAACTCTGCACTCAATCTAGAGCAGCACAGAATATTAAAGAGAGGAGGCAACTAGCTAAGGAAGAGTTTAATGAGGGCACGAAGGAGTCACCACAAAGAAGGCTGTGTAGCTCTTGGCAGACAAAGGGCAGGTTTCGCCTGATACAGACTCTGATGGGAGAAGGGCTCTGGGTACAGATGGGAGCAGGTTTATTTTGTAAGGGTGCAGGGGCCTGGGTAAATCTTTACATGCATGAGCTTTGGCAAAGACTTGGGAGGAAGAAGCCAAAGGGGTTTCTGGGAAGAAAGAGTTATGCATTATCATGGTACAGTTTTGAACCATCACCATGATGATTGTGCTGTCTCTCAGACAGGAGGTCCATCAGATACACCCGTCCAAGTCGTGTTCACAGTGACCCACCCCTTCCAACTAGGACCAACCTCCAAATGTGAGACTTTTTCAGGGACATTTTAGATCTAAGCCATAATAATACGCTGTTTGTTGTTCTGTACTTGTTTTATTTCAGTTAATGTAGTATCTTCTATATTCAATCACATTGTCGTAAATGATAGGATTTGCCTATTTTTAAAGGCTAAACAGTATTTGTGTGCATATGTTTGACTTTTCTTTATTCATTTATTTATGGACTTAGGTTGATTCTATATCGTGGTTATTATAAAGAATGCTGCAGTAAACATAGGAGCCATATATCCCTTTGACATAGATTTCATATCCTTTGCATATGTGCTCAGTGGGATAGCTGGACTATGTGGTAGTTTGATCTTAACTCTTTGAGGGTTAGGGTTTCCATAGAATGTTCCATTTTGACTATACTAATTTGCCTTCCAAGTCAATACCATGCCAGGCAGAATCCCCTTTCTTCACATGTTCTCAACCCTTATTTTTTTGTCTTTTTGATAACAGAATCCCAGCACATGTGAAGCATTATCTTATTGAAGTTTTGATTTGCATTTCCTTGATGATTAGTGATGCTGAGCATTTTTCATCTACCTGGTGACCATTTATCTGACTTCTATTAAGAAACGTCTGTTTCGTCCTTTGTCTATTTTTAATCATTGTTTTCCTATTATTGAGTTCTTAGACTTACTTAAGATTACTTATTTGTTATATCAACCCCTTATTTCATGTGTGTTCGCAAATGTATTCTACCATCCCATAGTTTGTCTTCATTCTGTTGAATGTTTCCTTGGCTGTGTGGAAGCTTTTTAGTTTAATATAATTCCATTTTTGTTTTTGTTGCCCTGAATTTTTTTTGCTCCTATTTAAAATCTCATTTTGTCCAGAGCAGCATTAGGGAGCTTTCTGTCTGTTTTATTGTGGTGATATTACAGTTTCAGGACTTACGTTTAACCCATGTTTAGTTAGTTCACATGGTTTGAGATATGTATCTAATTTAATTCTCCTGCATATAGGTATACAATTTTCCCAACACCATTTATTAAAGAGACTGTTTTTTTCCCACTAGATGTTTTGGCACCTTTGTCAAAACTAATATAATATATAGATTTATTTCCGGGTTTCTGTTCAGTTCCACTGGTCTACATGTCTTTTTATGCCAGTACCATAATGTTTTGGTTACTGTAGTTTTATAGTATATTTTGAAGTTAGATAGCATGATGCCTCCCACTTTGTTCATTTTGGTCAAGTTTGCTTTGTCTATTACAGGTCTTTTGTGGGTCCTTATGAATGTTGGGATTTTTTTTCTATTTCTGTGAAAAATGTCATTGGAATTTGGAAAGCACTCATGATCATATAATTCCATTATACCAAGTGATTTTGGACAGCTAACTGTAAATTGTATAGCATCATTTCATTAATAGAGAAAGTTATCTGTTGGCATATATGTTAGTTGAACTGTAACCCTTCTTTAATCATTTTGTCTGCATCAGAATTAGTGAAATCCTATTTAAATCAAGCAGATGGTCTGGACAGTTTCTCCTCTACTGATTTAACCCACAAGAATTCCTGAGCAGCAATGAACTACGGAGTTCAGGGTACGAAGACAGTTCTTTTGGGAAACTGGAAGACAGTGTGAGGCCAGAAGCTACAGATGTGGCAACAGGTAGAAAAAATGATATGGATGATCTCACTTGGCATTGGTGTCAGTAGCTGAGTGCAAAAGAGAGGGCTTTTCTGTGAACAAGTTGGAGTATGTTCTCAGGTGCAGCAGGAAAGGCTCTGTGCGCCTCGCAGTTTCAGTTAAGTATTTGTGAGTGCATCAGGAAATCTTTTTATTCTAGAATGAGTTGATTTAGGACCTGCATTATCTAGTAAGATCACATTTAGCTAGTCTTACACTTCTGTTTACCTTTTTATACACAGTTTGAGTGCTTGGATTGAAACCAAGAAATTTTGCAATACAACACACAAGATAAAAATTCAAAACTTTTCCAGAAGTCACTTCTGCTTCCAATGAGGGTAATGCTTATTTAACAAAAATTACATAAATTACAGCTTTTAGTTTTAGTGATATATTGACAAGCTTTCCTTCCAATTAGTCCAATTATTTCAAATTATAAGTATTAAAGCATATAATTATGCTTCATAGGGGTGTTAAAGCAGATAATAGCCCACTTGGTGGTTAAGTAGAGCAGTATTTTTATTACCTGATTGTTACTATAACTTTTAATTGAACTTTTATTAAGCTCCATTTATATTCTGGTTAGTAGATCATTAGTTGATCAGATAGTTTATCAGACAGCAGGCATTGTTGTTTTAAGCATATAGATCCTACAGGTGTTTTTTAGCTTTATATATAAATATTTAATTCATTTTAGAATTTCTGTACATGGTGTTTTTAAAATTTTGATTTTCAATTGTGCATTAGTTGTTTATAGAAAGAGAAGTGATTTTGTGTGTTGATGTATCTGCAACATTGCTGAAATTACTAGTCTTTGGCACTATGTAGATTACTTGGGATTTTTAATGCAGTGTGGTTGATTGACAACTTGTGACGCCTAATGGAACTGAGTCAACATGGTGCTGGGTGTGGATGGCCCACTTGAGGATTGTCACCAATAATATAAGAGGGAGACCTGGAGAGGAAGGTGTGGTGCTGTTGATTCTCCTGGAAGAGCCTGTTGAGCTTCTTTCCTGATACGAACTTGGTGGTTCCCATTATCAGAGGAGCTCTGAACCTTGCTGCCACTGAGAATGCCTGCAGTCTTCTTTGAGGGCCGCTTTTTGGCTCCAGAGGGGAAGATGGTGTGCTGATCAGTCTCCAGGAGAATCTTGTCATGCTGGCTTCCTGATGTGAACTTGGCTGTTCTCATTGTCAGAGGAACTCAGGACCTTGTTGTCATGAGGAAGACTGTGGTATCTTTTGGGGGACCTCTGGTCCTGACTTTAAACACCGCCTCCTAGCTCCAGTGTAGAACCCTTAACCTACTGGCACAGATCCTCCATCCCACTGACACAGACTTTCTGGCTTCCACTGCTGACCTCTGGGCCTTCCCAGAGCAGATCCATGAAACAGATTTGCATGTGACATTGTCATGGGCTGTAGGTCTTCAGCTGGACTCATGCAGGACATTGCCATGGGATCCAAGCCCTCTGCTGGATTTTTTGTGTCTTTAGTGTATGGATAGATTTCCTGCACTTGTTTTCATACTATTTGGGTGACTGTTATAAAATAATTCTATAAATTATGTGCCCTGTATTAAATTGTTTTCCATGCAAACCCTGTCTACAACATGCAGACAGTATTTTCATGTTTTACTGGTGCTCTGTGTGCCTTTTATTTCCTTTTCCTCATTGCATTGGTGGCCTTGACTTCCAGCTACACGTTGACTGCTCCACATTGATAATACTTTGTTTCTGATCTTAAGGAAAAAATCATTTCAGTTTTTACCATTAAGTATGATTCTGAGTGTGTGGATTTTTTTTTGTTATTATTTATCAAGTTAAAAATTTTTGCTTTATTTCCAATTTGCTTAGAATTTTATCACGAATAGGCATTGAGTTGTCTCCAGTGTGTGTGTGTGGGGGGGTGTGCATTGGTTGTAGTTATGTGCTTTTTCTGCTTTCGCTTGCTGATGTGGTAGATTACATTTACTGATATTTCAGTGTTGAGTCAGCTCTTTACATCTCCAATCAGTCGTACTTGATCCTGGCATATAATTTTTTTCTAAATTGTTAGATTTGTTTTGATACTTTGTTGAGGAACTGTCTTCTAAGTGCATGAGTGATCTATAGTTATTTTTTTAATACTGCTTTTGTCTGATTTGTATATCATGACAGCCTCATAAAAATGTTTTATACTTTTACCGTTCCCGTCTCAGAAATATTGGGATTCTTTTCTCTCCTTCCTTCCCCTGTCTTCCACCTTTGCCTTTGTAGACTTCCTGTTCTCTTCAAGACTCCATATTACTGGTACCCACTTGGCTCTTGCTACCCTTTCTTGAGGGACAGCAGGTAGTCCTGCCTTTGCTTTCCTCTTGTGGAGGGGCCCATCTCCACATGTTCTCACCTTCATGATCTTTCTCTTCATTTGCTGTATAAATCAAGATGGTGACTTCATAGCCTGGCACAGCAGTGTCTCCCTGCCCCCAGTGTTTCTGTGATACATTCAGACTGGACGTCTCTGCCCTTCATCAGCCTGGCACTTGGTGCTGCAGCAGGAGCTTCTTCCTTACCTTCTCCCCTTGCTAATGTGAATTCTGTACCCAAGGACCTGTTCGAAGCCACCTGTCCTCTTCTAGCAATCTCCAAGTCATGATCACAGGTTAGCAGTAGCTAAAGAGGGTGTTGTCTCTACTGAAGGTCTGTTCCAGGGCCACCCCAGCCAACTCCACACACGTTAGGGACTTCTGTTGCTACTTTAGAGTCAGCCGTTTCTCCTCCAGCTTCACTTCCAGCAGTGTATGAAATAAACAGGGTTGAGATCTCGTAAGTCTTCCCTTTTGAAAATGACCAGAGGGCACCAGCAAGAGCCTCACTCTTCCCAGCTTGGGATCTTGCTCTCCAACATTGCTGGTACTAAAACTGCCCAGCCTCAAGCAATGATTCACTCTCTCCAGAAACAGCAGAGGGTGACCTGGGCTAAAAACTGTTGACCCTACCCATACTCCACACTCTCCCTATCAACCAAAGGCCTATTTTTAGTTGTGAGGTGTACCTCTTTTGGATATATAAATTTGAAGCATTTTTCAACCATAATGAGGACATCCCAAAATTGTATAGAGTTAAGTAGACATGGCTTATGATAAATAGCAAGAGAGGGACCTCAAACTATTGAACTTCAGGGAGGTTGGTGGCTCCCTGATGATTGCGAAGCTTGGGGGATCTTGTCCTTTGGTTCCCGAGTATGATGATGAAAGAAAGGCTCAGTGAATCCACTTTTAGTTCTTGGTATAGATTGTACAGATCATGAAACCTCTTGTCATCCAGTTGGGAAAGATGGTGTTGACTCTGCTGTTGGAGGAAGTACCACTTATCCTCAACCCACACACTCTGCAACTCCAAACACAAACCCAGCGAAATAAATGCCCATGTTTGCTTTCTCCTCTGTCTAATCAGCCAGTTGCCTTTAAATTCTTTCTCCTGTAATTGCTACTGCCTGGTTCCCCCACCAAAAAGAAAAGTCATCCAAAAGAAAATAAACAAGGAATCTACTGCCCTTCCCTGATCCTCTGGTGTCTCCAGAGACAGGACACCACTCTCACTGTCTTTAGTGCTACTCTGGCTGTTGTCCTTGTCCCTAAGTCTTTATGTTCCTGTCCCACAACATAGAGATCCATCACAGTTTCCATCAAGAACACTTGCTGCAAATACCAACCATCAGACGTTGCACTAGACTATCTAAACTAGTTTATAAAACTTTGGCATTTATCTAGTGTTTATCTAGTGTTACCAAATATATATGAGCGTGTGATGAATAATCAGAATTTGAAGTCAGTCGTGACTTGAGTTGAGTAATAGAGATGATCAGTCTAGGAAGATTAGATTTTTCTCACAATCAACTTAAAAATGTTTATGTCTTTGCCATAATACAGTTGTAGCATTATTTTGGATGACCCAAATGCTTTTCAAAGCAGATTTTAAACACTGATTTCTCTCCTGTAGAATTACATCGTTCCATCTGGTGACTTGTTGATGTTGTCTCCATTTTGGCTGCATAGGAACCCAAAGTATTTTCCTGAGCCTGAATCATTCAAACCTGTAAGTTATGTGATTCAGTATACATTGTCCTTTGATTTTAATTTCTTTTTTTTGGTCAAGGTTATGAATTCATAAATTAACATTACATGATAATTATCTGGTAACTATGAAAAACGTTAACTGTAACATGAGATTGGCAGTGTAGAAGGCACAACATTTTCAGATCAGATTGAAAAAAATTAGAATTAATATCCCCTGCCTTTAAATAAATTTTTATCTGGAACCAGTAAAGCATGTTCAGTAAATACACCTGACTCTGGAGGAAGACTTGTTTCATATTCTTTAGGCAGTTGTTTCTGTTACTGGTTTCCAAGGAATACATAAAGTAAAAATAAAGCAGATTAAAACACTGACTTGGTATTTCTTAGGATCTGAGAGTTATAAGGCTGAACAGTCTTTAGACACACGTTTAGTTCATGCTCTGCTTCTGGGTAAATACAAAGCTGTGGATGTGTCTATCCTGGGACACAGGGTGGCGACTGGTGACTTATTAAATTTATTACCAAGAGTAATTTCATAGTGGAGCCTGAGACCGTATTATAAATATCATTCCTCGACTTGGGCCCATTCTGTGGTCAATTTACATTATCATTTACATTTACCGCTTATTAGAATTCCTTTTAAATCTTTTGATGTATAGTTTCATGTTCCCCCAAAACAGTTGTGTCTGATATTAATAACAGGTTGGGAAAAATTACCAACAACCCTGAGACTCTTTGTGCAAAGATTAGCTGCATAAGGTCATTTTTAGCTTAGAGAAATAAAGTGAAGCTTATTTATATAAGACTGATTTGGGGAAAAATGTTTTCTTCCCACAGGAACGTTGGAAAGAGGCAAATTTAGAGAAGCACACGTTCTTAGACTGTTACATGGCATTTGGAGGCGGGAAGTTCCAGTGTCCTGGAAGGTCAGTGAGGCACAGGGGCCAAGTGGCCCAGAGTCTATGGAGCTGAGGGCTGGAACGGGGAGTCCGGCTTCGCCCCACTCAGCCTTGTCATCATACTCCAAGGGAAGCAGGAGGGCATGGTTGGCTCGGTTGGCTGTCAGGAGTGCTAGGTGGCGTCTTTGTGGGTGTATCTGAGGTAGCTGCTGACCCAGTAAAGATGGCACTGGTACATGCCAGGCAGCAGGGCTCATGGGTTAGACACTTAGCTTCCAGGGTAGCGTGCAATGCTGTGAGTGCTACTTTCTGAACACATAGATAGATGAATATTTCTTCAACAAACTACTCAGAACACCTGTCATGCTACTCGCTGGAGTCATCAGACATCATTTGCATGGAGAACATCACCACTTGAGCTTTTCTTTCCAGGGTTCATTTGCTCGTGTAAAACCTCTCCCTTGAGACCTTTTATGGTTCACCTGGCCCTGAAGATGCTCCTTCAATGTGATTGGCCGTTCTGGTGTAAAGGTTCCTCATTTCAGGACAGATGTGCCTATGTTACTTATCCAAGCAGAAAAGCAATTCTGAACACCTCCCTGCTAAGCATCCGGATCATGCACTAAGGAAGACCATTGTGGCCCTCAGCTTTGCAAGATTTACTTCTTTGAAATATCTCACTCTGTAAATGTACAAGTCCATTCAATGTTGTATCTCAAAAGTTAGTTTCTTGATTTAAAAAGTCAATCATGTTTATATTTTGAATAGTGCAGTAATCCCCATTCATATATATGACTTTTCCTCTACAAATATTCATTCCGTTCTTCCTTTATATGCTTTTAGTACTCTCCCTCTCTCCCCAAATGTTTTCATTAATCTTGAATCAACCATGAAAATTTTAACCTCCTTTTTAGAAACCTGAGCCCAAGCAAATTGGTGCCTGGTGTTTCCCTGGAGATCATTTATTTGTCATTGACCTAAACTGGCCAATCATACTTTAAGGAGAGCTTTTTCTTCCATAATTAGAAGGGGGGCTCCTTTACTCATGCCAGAGATGTGAGGGAGAAAGCAGGCAGCCCGTGTCATTTACAAAGGATCAGGCCTTGTCTGTGGCTATACCATCCTGATCTCAGAAGCTAAGCAAAGTTAGGCGTGGTTGGTACATGGCATGGGAGACAAAGAATCAGACCTTGTGCTGGACAGACTCTGCAGACAGTTTAGCAGTTACCCCCGGTCCCCATGATACTGTCATGTCACTGAAAGCATCGATTGTGAAGAGCTCTTTTACTTTCTTTTGCTTTAGATCATGAATGTTCTTATCTTTTAAGGCAGTCAAGAGGGTAAACATGCTAACATACCCACCAGAAAGTTCCAAGGGTTAACAGCATGGTGGTGTGTCAGATGCTTTAGGGGCTCAAGTTTAACCGACAAAACCATAACCATTGTGTTTACCCTGCCTCTGTTACTTTTATTATAGAAAACAGTTCTTAAACCAATTATGAATTTATTTATTGTTTTTGTCACCTACTTTATATCCATATCTTAAGATTAGCTCCTCTAAAAACTGAAAATAGTTTTTTAGAGTCCTTGACATAAATATCTAATAGCAACTGAAGAATTTATTATAGCTGCCTTTGGCACTGGGTTTGAAGTGCTTTAAACCACAGCCTGAGCAGTTTTGCAGTGGCACAACAAGTTCAGACAAGCAGTCAGTTTGCCAAACAGCAGTCATTGTGCTGTTTGCAGGTGGGGCTGTTGCCACCTTCTGCCACAGTTTAGAGGCTGAAAGGTATTTGCTTGAACTTGAAAATAGTGGGTACAGTAAGGGGCGATGGCATCACGACTCCTGAAGTAGTATCCTATGTGTGCATAAACTATGTATCTTCAGAATGTCCCGAGCTCATCTCCAAGACAGTGTCCTATACAGTATAGAGGCCCTGGACATGAGACATGGCATGACCATGTAGTCCATTGGGACCCATTAGAAGTGCAGGATGGAAGATGCCCCGGCTTCTCACTGCAGAGTCCAGACAGGAATATCAGGTCAGAGGCACCTCAGACTGCATGGCCTCTGAAGAGCTGGGAGCCTAGTAAGCTGAGAAAGCAGAATAGACAGGGTCATTAAGCACTGAGGCATGTGACTGAGGCATCTGTGGTTCGACTGTTATTGGGGCCCAGTGGCAGGGTGATGAGGAGAAAGACTAGAAGCAGATGTTGGCCCATTTAGAACCTTAGCATCTGATTAGGAGTTTGCACACTGCTCACAAAGCACCACTGAAGCACAGAACGGTTTTGGGTACAGTGGATCCGTGTGGGGCGTGACTTCAGTTGTATGGTTACATTACTATTCCATGCTGGAGATATGGCGTGGTGGTTAAGTGTGCAGATTGGAAGGTAATGAGCTCTAGGGATCAAGCAAAGGAAAGGCCTCTAGGTGGACTTGGCCTATAAAGGGCTTTCCCTGTGCACCCATGAGAGGGAGTGACCTGCACACCACCCTGTGGCCCAAACCAGAGGTGACAGCTGTGTGTGTTCATCTCAAGCACAGTCGTCGTCGGCTGTATCACAGGCAGCCTTCTCTGACTCACTGACTTTTTGGTACATGAGAAAGCAAGCTGGCTCCTGGTACTTCCATTAGGAACGGGTGCAATTGTCTGATGTTTATCCTAAGGATTTGTGGGATTAACTTTCTAGTGGAAAGATCTATCTTGTTATACACTGTCTACATGAAATCATTTGCTCTTCTGAAAAATTTTTATTTTATCTCTTTAAAAACAAAGTACTTTCTGAGTTGGCTGTTTAAAATGCAAGCCCAGACATTGAACAGAAAACTAGACTAAGTGAGGTTTTTAACAGGTTAGAGATCGTCAACACTAGGCTTTGGCTATAGAATTTTGCTGTGTGGCAGCGTGGAATTCAGAGCCCATAGGAATGCAGCAGTGCACCTAACCATTGATGCCAAGATCGCTACGTGTTTGGGTTTGTGTGGCTCATTTATTCCTATGCATTTGTACTAGTATCATTTTAACAGATGCCTTATCTAGTAAACAACCTTTGCACAGTCTTGTGTTTGAGGAGTGTTATCCGAGCTTTCTCCCTTTTAGACTTAGAAATAATTGATTCTACTTAGGAGTGAGCAACTAATTGAAAATCCAGTTTATTCCAAGGCGTATGTTACATAAGCAGATGTATCTATGCGACTCCAGCTGGTAGGTGTGATTGAATGAGCGTATGTACTTGTGTAATTGTCTTTTATCATTGTCACTAAGAGTGCATCTGTCTTTGAAAATGTCTGAGAAGGAAGAGGTCAGAGTTGCCAGTGGGAGGAAGGGAAAGTGGTGAATCCTGAACCTCAGAGCCAGGTGCTGGTTTCCTGTTCATTTTCAGCCACTCTGCTCTGCTGTAGCTCGGGTAAGGAGCCGTGACTCACTTAGAGAAGCACAGAAGCTTCTGCAGAAATTGCAGCGTTATCCCCCCTGCCATTTCATCTTAACACTTCACATGCAGCCATGATTTTTAAGTCTGTCAAGAACCAAAGAAGCAGTGGTTTTTAATTCTTAGGCAAAACATGTTCTTTTCTGACCCAAATTTTCAGAAAGGAGCTGAAAAACTCAAGTGATCATCACACAATAAATGCAGAAAAAGCATCCCACAAAAGTCAGTAGTCTTTCTGGTGAAAGTGTTCATCAGTCTAGGAACAGGAAAGTTCCACCGTGGTGTGATGGTAGCCCAAAGACCAACATGCAGACCAAGGGAATAGAGACCCTGTTGTACCCTGGGCAAGTGATTCTGACAAGGCCTGAGGCCTTGCAGTGTAAAGAGAAAGTATCATCAGCCTGCATCACGATGTGCATGAATGAAGGATCAAAGCTAGGCCCTGGCCTAACATCAGGTCCACAACTTACCTTGGTCCTTTTTCCTGAATAAGGAGGTTTGAAAGGAGGTACCTAAAAGTGTACAGGTTGCTCTTGTATCTGGGACCTTCCCATCTAGGAGGGGAGCTTCAGGAGCACTCTTAGAACAATACTGGCTGCAGTCTAGAAGACAAGACCCCCAGCAACACAGAAGAGGGTATCCCAAACCAAGAGGGGCTGAGGTTCCCTGCCTGTCCTGTCTGCTTTCTCACTGTTTCTGCCTAGAAATACCCCCTGCTTGCTTCTATTTTCATGTTTTCTTCTGCCTTTCGTCTAATTTATGCCATTCTTCTCTTTCCATTCTATTCCATCGTTCTCTCTTCAGCCATCACAAAGCATCGACCTGTTTATCTGATTATGCCTTTACTACTGTTATTCCCAGCCAAGGTGCCCCACCTGTGACATTTTGTGTATCACTGAGATATTCTTTGTAATAGGAACAGTGTATAATACAAGTAGAAAGTTTGGTAAATTACATCTTCTGAAATATTTTTCCTTTCTGCTTGTCAAGTTTCTCTAGATTAGCAAGTTTCAACATCCAGCAAGTCTCAAAATCTTCTGACCATGGACAGTAGCATTATCTGGAGACTTGTAGGAAATGAGCTTCCTGTACCCGGTACTCAGACCTCCTGAATCAGAACCTGGGGTGAGGTCCAGCTCTCTGTGTCCTCACAAATCCTCCAGGAGATTCCAGGACACAATAAAGTTGGGGAATTGTGGATCTGGATTATTTACCTCCCCCATATTGATTTTATCTTCCTAAAAGATTTCTAAGGGGAATGAGGTTATGGGAAAAGCGCTTCCCCTTGAACTCAAATAGCTGTGCTCCCATGTGTGATGCCTGCGAAACTATGCCTGCATGCTGGCCTCACCCAGTTCCAGGCAAGAGCATACTATTTTCATAAACTGCAGCTGGAGCAGCTCGGGACACTTCACAGCTCCAGCTCCTGGCAACAGCAGTGGTTTTCCAGCCCATGCTGCCATTGCCTGCCATGACTTCTAGGAGAAGGAGATTTTTTTTCTCAGAAAGAGAGAGACTCAGTCTCAAAATCAAGCATCTACACAGATATTCCCCGACTGCCACCCCCGCCTTCCTCCATCAGGCTCACAGCTGCTTTCCTGTTCTGCCTCTTCTGCCTTGGGAAGCTTCCTTTGCTCTCTCCATTCCTGACTTTCCTGTTTGTTCCTGCCCCTGAAACCAGATCTTCATCACCCTAGGTGATTTTTACTGTTTTCCAGCCTCTCCTTGGCGCTGTCTCTCTTTCAATCCCCTTATGACAGGCAGATTAATGTTCCTGAAATACTAATGTCTGATTGTCACTCTGGTGAAGCCTGGCACTGCAGCCTGCCAGCCAGACTCCACAGCGTAGGGCTCCGGAGTCCCCAGCATCCGACACCAGCCGAGCCTTCCTCGGCTCAATGGTCCCTTCTCCCACACCTGACCCCTCTGCCTCTGCTGCCAGCAGGCTCTGACATACTGTCACTCCACAAGTCCACTTATTTAAAGCCTGTCCTTCCTCCAGGTCCCACTGAGGTTTCACCTGCACATACCAGGTCAGCATGGTCCTGCCAGACTGCAAATCTACAGTCCCCTGGCCACCACCTTCGCTGCATCCTTCCTTCGATGGTTAGCATACACTGTCACCTTCCTTCTCCCCGTCATCCCTAGCAGGGTGTTCTTCAGGGCTTCATATTCTTGATGCCTGTGTAATGTTCCTTGAGCCAGGGGAAAATAATCCATGCATTAAATAGTTGAGAAATTTTTCAACATGTCTGTAGTTTAATGTGTTTTATTTGTAGATGTATGATATTCTCTTAAGTGTAAAAAAAAATCTGGCATAAGTAATATGCCTCATTACTTTTACTGTTGTGACATTAGAAGTATTAAGAAAATATTTTTAATGTGAATGCAGCTCAGCTTGTTTCTGAGAGCATCTGTAAAATTCAAATTTATCAAGCCTTTCTCTGTAATATAAAAAACTTTTAATGTCACAGATTTTCTTATGTTTTAGACATCAAACAAAACTCAACAAGAGAGTAAAAGCCTAAAACACTATATTTTTATTTTTATTTATGGCAAAAATACCAGTGAACAATTGAAATAATTCTCCTAGAGTACTCAAATATTTAGATTTGGAGAAAGTAAGACTTTTGAGCACATAATTTTGTCATGGCACATTATTAATGAACCTCCCTTTTCCTTTAAGCTATCAAAATGTTCATAATTACTACTAAAAGTCATGTTAATATTATCTCTATTTTTTTATTTTAAAGAGGATAAAACCAAGGAAAATAAAACAATAAAAACAATAAAAAATAAACCAGTTTACATGATACAGGACTTCAGAACCTTACAAAACCAACAATAGTTACCATAATGCCGTTTGTTGTCTTCAAAATAGTTGCAGATACTATTTTAGTAGCTAATATTAATTTAGTAACCAAACTAACAACACTAAAAAAATAAAAGAAGAAAAATACTAAAACCTCTAATTTGAACTACACATATTACTTGGCCAGAAGCTTGTATTATAGTTCATTTTTAAAGGAAATATAGTTTTATCACTAGGAAAATGCCTTATAATTTGTAGTGGGAGTCTATTTCAATAAAATGGTAAGTATTATTTCTGATTGTTTCCCTTTCTTGGAAAATTTCTATCATTTCATTTTTTTCTCATTCTACTTCCATAGATTTTTTCCCTAATACATATTTTTCTGTTTGAAAGCTCTAAGAGTGGTGTTCATTTTGATTGGCCTGAGAACAGTATCTATTTATGGTGCCTGGACATACACATGTGTTGTGAAAGGGCTCCTTAAAGCTGGTTCACATGTGTATCACCTTACATACTTACCACGCGTGTGCTAAGGATACCTAGAAGCTAGTGTCTGAGTGGCTCCCACAATGCACTACCGTGTTGTTAAAGGCCTTGATACAGAACAGATCTCTTGAATTAACTCCTCCTGATGAACTGAGATTGTTGCCCTTTAGCCAAGATCTCGCCCCACCTCCCAAACCCAGCCACTGAGACCCATCATTTCTAATTGACTATCCACAGTTCCAAGGAGTCCCATGCAGTTCACTCACCTGAACAGGCTCCCCTGTCTGGCTGGCTTCGGATCCTCGCCTTGCCCCCAGCATGGACAACCAGCTTGCAGGCCCCGTAACCAGGATTGCTTCCAGTCCAACCGCGGAACAGGCCATGCCTCTGCCTTGGCCAGCGCCGCAGCACTCCTCAGAACCATCTCCGCTGTGTTCTTGTTGTGGTGCCTGTGAGGAAGGCACTGAGAGATGGACAGGTGGGGAAGGAGAGGCAGGGAAGGGGCTGAAGATGTGTTCCATGCACGCAAGGAGTGTGAGCATTGTGCACTGTGAATGTGCACTAATTACAAATGAAGACAAACTTAAATTAATGAGTAAATTCTTACTCTACAGCTTTAATAGTAGATTAATGATTTTACAAGCATATTTGCTTTAACATATATATACTTTTAGATATTCTCCAATGGTCGGTACTTATGCAACTTTCACAGCTAAATAACACTTTTCTGTTTTTTCTTAGGTGGTTTGCTCTATTAGAGATTCAAATATGTATTATCTTAATACTTTATAAATACGATTGCTGTCTTCTGGACCCATTACCAAAGCAGGTAAGTATTCCAGAATTTTGAATATCATCCTAACGCTCAGATTTGATATGAACCCTGACTGCGTCACTTCAGTTGCCAGAGATGCAGGGACAGATTCCTTTGCTGAGGCCTGGGCGTGGTGGAGCCGGCCGAGAGCATTCCTGCTCTCCTTCATTCAGAGCCTCCTTGTGCTGCTTTGCTACATGGCCAGGACAGACAGCCAGCCGTGTTTCTGCCGCTGCCTGTATGAGGCCTCCTCGCCGGCCTTCCCAGATTTTCCGCTTTTCTCTGGGTTAAATCAACATGGCCTTAGCTTTGACCTTGTATCCCTAGAAAAGGAAGTCCTCTCAGGTCTGAAAGTAGCCCTGGGTTTTGGATGCATGTCACAGTGGAAACAGGGACAGAGAGCAGAAAGCACGATGGGAAAGGCCATCACACTTTATAATCCTAGTGCAGAGTATTGTAAGCCTTTGTCTCCTCACCGTGTCTGTTCTAGGCCCTCAGTGGCCCTCAAGCTGACCTGAGTGCCAGAGCCACATGGGGGCTGGTGACAGGAGAGCACAGGTTGAAGCTCAAAAATAAGCACTACAGTCTTAGGACTGTTCACATAACACCTTGTGCTTTGATTTAATGTTTATATCATAAGACAGATGTGTTGAGAGAATTATAAGTATGTGACAAAGAAAATGTATGACAAATATGCATGTGTCAGTCATTCCCATTGATGTCATTTGCACTTCTGTTTTGAGTTTAACCTTTAGTACCAGGAGCTCTCCAAATCTTAGCATGAAGGGGCTCCCTTCCCCAGAGCTCTCAGCTGCCTGCTGTGTTGTCAGATGGGGCAATACGAAGGTCAGAGTCAGGATTAGCTCTCTGGTCTAGCTCGTTAGATGTCATAATTTTCCCAGAATTGACTCAGAATCCATCTATTCTCCCACCAGCGAGAAGACCCAGGCAGGTTTGTCTGTTCCTACAAGATGACGTCAGTGAAAATGATGGAGATCAATAATTGTTATCAGCTCCTAGGCAAGAATATTCCTAGCACTTTCTACCTAGCTAAAGGTTTTATTCACTACATGTAATTTCTTATACTGTTTTGAGTACATCTTATTTTGCTTTGACACCAACCAGAACATTGTTTAAGGAAATGTTGTCTCGTGTTGGAAAATGTACATATCTAAGTAAATTTCCACAATCTCAAAGAATATTTTATCTCATAATCCTTATTTTAGAAAGAGAAAGATCAATTGAAATTATGTAACTATTGGAATTGTTTTGATTAGCTGTAAAATGAGGTAGTCATACATAGAGAAGATGACCTTCAGACTGCAGCTCCTCCTGGAAGGCTACATTGCCCAAGGCTGTGGAATCAGGATCTGGAACCTGCTTGTCTCAGGAATTTACTTGTCAAAGGAGCAAATATCAAACATTGAAACCCCCAATTTTAATTTTCAGATAGCCCAGGGTTTAATTTTAGGTGCTAAGATCAAACACAGGGCCATATACTTGCTGGATAAGCTCTCTACTGCTGAGCTGTCCCCAGCCCCTGTGTTTTATTTTACTCAGAAAGTCTTTTTTTTTTTTTTTTTTTTTTTAATTTTTATTTAAGGAGAAAAGAAAAGAAAGAAAAAAAAAAAACAGTGAAGGGGTACAAGTTATACAGATTTACAGAATAAAAAAATGCGCAGTAGGAAATCACTAGTTAATGGATTACATATTGCCATCTTAGAAATAATTGTTCAAGTCACAAAATTAAAGCTTGTAGAGTGGACATTCCACCAATGATACTGCAAACAAGTCTTAATAAATTGATTTCACTTCTATTCCCTCCCATTAGGAAGCAATCAGGAGACGCTACAAAGCATGGAGACTCCTGACTGACAGCAGTCCTGTTCCTGGGGTGGGGGTGGCGCATATCCTGAATGCTCCTGAAACAGCTTCCAGCTCACACAGGGGCCTTGCACTTGTTCAGTTGTGTTCCATTTTCTCTTTCTTTTGGGCTATGGATCCTTAGGAGATCTCAGTACTTACAGATTTCTTTCTAGAAAAGAGCCTATTTTTTCACATGATTTTGGATCCAGTCTGAGTGGCCCCCTGGGCACCCTGCAGCTCGTTGTATCAGCTCCCCCAATTCTCCTGCTAAGGAGTCCAATGGGGCCCTACCACCTTCAGACCTAGAAACAGACTGATCATCTACCTTGGATCAGCCCCAACTTTCATCCACAGAATAGGTTGAGATTTTTTTGTACTGGGGGTCAAATTCACAACCTCACACTTGCCAGGCAGGCACTTTTACCACTGAGCTTGGGTTGCTTTCCTTTTTCAAACCCCTAATCCTTAAAAAAAAATTTTCATTCTTTGCAATACTTCTTCCCTTCACCCCCACAGATTCACACCTTGTTCATAGCTAGGGAGAAAAATCACATTTGAACCCCCCTAAAAAATGTGTTTTTGGAAAATGATGATCACAAGTACACCGTGCCAGTGTTTCACACCCCTGACTCCAGGTGGCTCTTAAACACCTAAGACATGTGACATTGTGACCTCAGCCCCTGTTCACAAGTGAGGTGTCACAGCCTTGGAGTCTGATTTACCACGACCTCTTTAATCAGATAAAGAGAAGACAGCAGGCCAGTCCACAGGCGCCGGGGCGCGGGTGGGTCCAAGAAGAGGCTGTTAGAATCAGAGGCAGTACTCTCCTTCTCCCTGTCTTGAAAGGAATCTGAGTACATGTTTTGTTCTTATCTCAGAGAGTACAACTCGGTTTTCATCCATGAGGATGCTTCCCGAACCTACACCCTGTACTTTCTAGAGAAAATCCTGGGGGAGTGAACCTAGGGCCAGAGTAATTGGCTTCTGTCTCTTCATGTCTGTATCTCCTGCATTTCTGCTTTTAGAGTCCTCTCCATGTGGTGGGTGTCCCCCAGCCAGAAGGACAGTGCCGCATTGAATATAAACAGAGACATGACGTTTGTCAGGACCCGCAAGGGCCAGCGCTATCTGGAGGAGCCACACCACCAACCACACACCTGATAGCCGGCCTGCACAATGGGTGACGTCACCTGGCCCATAATGGCCATTCAGGATAAACAACAATGATTATGATTTCTAGAAACTACTTTTTTACATCTCTTAACCAGCAGTTGGAACTCTCAAGCTTTGTTAATACAGTGCTTTATTGTAACATGCATACGGTTAAAGTGTGAGTAAAGTAGAAGTTTTCTAAAATCTCTGAGGACAGCATCATGCCTACAATTCTCCATCTTTTTACACGTAGGACAGCATCTCTTCTATAACAAGGATTTAATAAATGCATGTTGATTGACGTGTTGGTCCATATTTTAATGAAGGCAGAAGCACGCATGACTCCAGGTGTTTAAAGTTAGTTTGACAGATGATAATGTGTTTGCTGATGTGTAGAAGCACAAGTGCAATACTGTCCCAAGGCAAGTAGCTGTACTCAAGATGCACAACTGTAAAATATTTGCCATGAAACCCAGAAAAGAAACTCGGCCCTGTCCAGGGGAAACTCATGACAGTAATGGCAGAGCACATAGTGATGTCATGACTTACCCCCCACTGTTCACCAAGCGCTGCCCACCACCTCCCGAATTTCGCAGCAAGTGTTCTGTGTGTGGCCCCCAGGCCCATTCCTGCCTCTGCTGAATTGTCTCACAGGGTCGATAATGACCACTTAGTCATCTGTTTCCTCCTGCAAGCTCACAGCTGTCTGGAAGAATCAGGGCAGAAAGTGGTATTCAGGCTGATGCGGGGAGTCGAAGCTCGGCTGGCAGCTCGTAGCTTCACTTGGTAGCAGACTCGGGACTAGAGTCAAAGGGGCTGAGGAAAGCTGTTTACAGTGTATGTAAAGAAGCACCCACTAAACTGCAGTCATGCAAGGCCACTGTGTACCTGCTCCTTTTGCTTGGTAAGGATGAGCGTTAGTTTCAGGTCTATGAAATTTTATAAAATGCACACACAAGATCTGGTGGTCTTTAGAAGAATGAGGCTTGGATATCCCATACTTCCTTCTATTTCCCAGTTTTGGGGCTTTATATTATATATAGTATTTACAAGTTTTGTAAAGTCATAATACCACCTTCTGTTTACTGGAAGCAGAAGACAGAGATGTGTGTGGTTTACCTGGAGGCACACTCAGGCAGAGTGAGAGGTCAGGATGAGAGTTGGCATGCATATTGCAGCTTGGGCATAGGATTCGTGGTTCCTGGGGCCACATGAGATGCATATTTGACACCTTCCCTGTCACTTGTCTGAAGGGCAGAGACAGGATTGCAAATTGGCATCAGAGGCCTCTGGTGAGCAGCAATCTTCCAGGCACAGTCTCGGGACACTGTGGTTCCCAGCCACTATGTGCAGGAACCGAACTGGATTACAGTGTCAAAAGCTCCAAAGTGGCTACAGAGTCTGAGCCTGCTCAGAATTGCTGGGCTCAGTGCAGAGAGGTTGGATGGGACCCTAAGGACATCTGGGAACTCTTACTGGCTCTCAGGTCTTCCCTAGACCTGCTTGGCATCAGACCCAATCTCCATCTCAAGTGATGGCCCACGTGGCCCAATACATGTTTTAGCTGTGGCGTGAAGGTTTCACCATGCACAGCAAATGCAGCCTTTTTTTATGCTGTGACTGGGACCTTGTAACAAGTGGGCCCCATTCTACCCATCCTGCAAGACAGGTGCCCGCTGTGAGCAGCTGAGCTCTGTACCCACTTCCTTGTCCTGCACATTACTACCTTTTCTGTGACTATAAATAAGTGCTTCTGTGGGAAGGCCTACCACTTTGTACCTCTGGGTCCCGACAGCTTCCCCAGTTCCAGAATTGCAAGTCAAGCCAATTACAATCTGCAGAACTCAAATTACCATTTTTTTCTTGGAGCAGCTCTAGTAACCATGCAAAGGGCTCCTTGAGGAACCCAAGAGAAGCACTTCAGACCCTTTGGAGTTTCCCTGCATTCCTGGAGATCCAGGGTCCTGGATGAGTTCCTGGTGGGGATAGGGCTTTGCTCTTTTTCCATAAAGTGCGCACCTTTTTGACATTGTCCTCGGCCTTTATTTGTGATGACAGAAGCAGCACCAGGCCCAGGGCAGCATTGGACCTGCTAATGAACTCTTGACACTTACATTCCCCGGGGACCTGGAGATGAGGCCAGAGAAGTTTCTCATCAAAATCAGATGGTATCCAAGAGTAGACAGTTTTTCCCAAAACTTCAGGACAAGACTCCCCCGTAGTAAATCCCTTACTCTGCATATGGTTCCTTTCCACTGGATTGGGGTAATTCTGAAGTTAGAATTTCATGATCAGTATCTTCTGTGACTAACTTGGCAAAGTATTAGGCCTGATGTGCCCAACCCAGATCTTAGTATGATCTAAGCAGTCATTTAGTTCACCCAGAGGTTAACCTTAGCAACATCCCTGATGTAACTATTGTCCAAATTACCTTCATCATGCAATTTCTAGACCCACATGTTCTCATTTCTTGTTTTAATTTAACCCAGCTTAGAATCACAAACAATGAATATTTCACAAGCTAAGTTTGCACCAAAAACTCAAATTGACTTATATCCCTAAGCATCATAATGCTTCACAAACCTGTTGTAATTCTGCCTCCCATCCCTAGCTAGACAATTTTATACACAGGCATTCTCCTGCCTTGTCAGATGGAAGAAAGACTGATAGGAGCTGGGAAAGTTAGTAGTGTCTTTTCTGTTCCAGAAACAGAAGGACATTGGTCCACTCCTTTTGATCTACATTACAGATTAAAGAGAACATTGTCAGGAAGCACCAGCTCTTCTTGCTGGCCTTCACTTGTGAGGCCCTTTCTTATGCCTTTACGTAAATAAAATGATGCAATTTATTCCTCACAATAGGCTCTGTAGCCAATTCTGCAAAGCCTAAGGGTACACAATAGACTTTAAAATCCTCACACCCAGGTTGTCCTGGATAACAACTGCTCTAGATTCCATACTGACCAGACATGGAAGAATCTATGCAGTTGTCAATAGTTCTGGCCACACATGCATAAATGTACCAGATGTTATACAGACTCAGTTTAAGATTCAAATGGGCTGCTCTCTGTCTGGCTCATTCTTTGACCAACAGATTTTAGTTGGTGTGGTTTGTATGGTCCCTTTCTCAGGAACACACTCTGAACCCTTGGAATTATCCTCCTGTAGTTAAAACAGTCTCCCTCATGGATAGATTCTCTAAAACCTTTTAAAAGTTTACATGCATCCATCTGTAATCCACCAAATGATTTCTCCTTGACTGGAATGACAAAACTCAAGAAATGCATAATCATGAAGACACTATCATTTATAAACAACGTGACAAGGCAGGAAACCAAAATGACAGTCACTGAGAAAATGTCAATGCTCAAAATTTTGGCTCTTCTCCCAAAATAGGGAATTGTTAAAATTAGCCAGTACCACTGTTTTGGTCATGCCATTGTTTTAAGTTCCTAAATTTGGATCCAATCAATTAGACCAAATAAAAATGGAGTCACTCATGCTAAGTGTCACAAAACCAAACTGAAACTATTAAGAAGCAGACAAATTCTGAACAGGAGAACTTTCCCCTAAAAATAACAAGTTGTTAGTGTTAGCCAACCAGTATTTTTGCCTATTATTCTCTTTCCTTGTCCTCAACTTACACAACCCACTGCTCTGCTATTTCCCAGTGGCACTGGAGGCTAAATAAATGCATTTACAGTAGTGACAAGGTGACATCAATGCCAGCATTCTGCTCAATCTCTCAAGCTGGAGGAATTAAATTTGGCCTCAGGCTGCCTTTGCAGATGGCCCCTGTTCTAACCATGTTCAAACAAGACAGGTGCAAACTGTCCCATAGGGCTGTGTCTGTACCACACTTTTGTTTCCTGTTCGTCACTTTCTTTACTTTGGATATAAAGATAACCCACTGTGGGATAGGGAGGGACATTCTGAGCCCTTCTGGTTCTTTTTGAACCATTGCAGATTGCTGTCAATTCCAGAATTACAAAGAAAGCCAGTGAATATCTGCAAATTTATTGTCATTTTCTCCTTTATCAGACAAAACAAAAATTAATTTCTAAAATTGAAGTCACCAGTAGACAGGTGGAATCTGGGGCCAGAGTGGAGACTGATCTTCCAAGGCCATTCTATCCATTGTCCCTGGATTACTGGTGTAGTGGAAGGACCAAAACCTCACCTACAAGGCCAGGTGTGGTGGTGCATGCCGGTAATCCCAGCACTCAGGAGGCCGAGGCAGGAGGAATTCCAAGAGTTCGAGGTAACTGGGGATAAACAAGTGAGTTCAAGGCCAGGCTGAACTACATAGTGAGACCCTGTCTCCAAAACATAACAAAACAGCCAACAAACCCCACTTCTGAGGACCTGAGCACTCAGTTGCTTGGCTTTTGTCAAGCTTGAATGACTGCAATTTCCGACTCCATGATTACCAGCCACAGAGCCCACAGAGGTGCCCTGGAGAGTGGGATCTTCTGTTTTCAGAAACTACCCCTTCTGTCATGGGGCAGCCACTTCCACTTTGCTAGTGAGTGGATCCACTTTCTCCACCTCAGTTTAAATTCCCTTCTCTGATGGCTGGTTCAGAAGCATAAGCAGCCCCAAAAGACTAAGCAATTTCAGCTCCTCGGGAACCAACCGCAGTAAGTAAGTGTCCCCTTCTCATCAGAACCAGGGTTTCAGGACAGGACCTGGGCATTCCTCAAGTGGGTCTTGGCAGTCACTGTTGGAGGGGTGACATTGTTTCACCCCTGAGATTCCATGGCTCTCAGGGTCACCCTGGCCAGTGTGCACAGGGTGGCCACTGGATTAGATGGGACGTTCTACACCTCAACAAGAGTCCCAACCCCACATACCCCTCACCAGACAGA